TATCGCATTTGAGAGTTACGGTAAGGCAACTAATGAAAAGGAGAGAACGAATTGTCATAGGATCTGACCAGCTAGGGTTATACGACATGCTGATTACAAATTTGCTATGGAAAAGTTGGCTTACCAGAAATTAATGGAATAAGTTTTCACTCTGACGGCAATGAATATAATGAATACATTGTAGTCTTCAGCTTGTCAAATTGCCCACAATACAAAGCTTTGCCAAAATAGGGCATTCCAGCCCTTTGGCGTTGATGATTTTGAGGCGGCATTGACGCATACATCTAGAGCGACTTCTTAAAGGCAGCCTCTCACTAAAACTTAGTTGTCGAGGTTTTTGCATACTGCAAGACTTTTCGTGGTCATCTAGCTCAGCGCGGGTCCAAAATCTTATACACAGGGTGTCCGTAAAGTATGTATGCACTGTTTGATCGTTAATATCTCCGTTCCCAGGGGTCTTTTGCCGAGCTTTAAGCACCATACTGTAGAGCTTGCTTCAACTTAGACTTACAGTATGGAGCGAATCGCCGGTCTCCTCTCATTACTGTAGGATTACGGTAGGAACTTCAAAGAGGGTTTTGAGCCATGAAAGGCCATATTTTGCCTCAGAAAGGAAACAAAACAGCCTGAAAACTTTTACACTAGGCTAATTAGAGTTGCTGATTTTAATTGTGAAGTTCCAACTTATTATGATGCTTCATTGAAGAGTTATGCCAGGTAAGAGGTAGCGGCCATTTTTTTAATGTTCCTAAAAGTGCATTTACACCGTTTAGAAAGCTTCGCAATCTTGTGAATAGTTGAGTATTGAACTCAGCGTCCATAAAAACCCTACTACACAAGTTTTCACATTTTTTTGAAAAATTTTGAAACGACAGCTTTTTCCACATTGACACCATATGTTTCAAGTTTCTACCGTAATCCTACAGTAACAGTGAGTGATCGCTGATTCGCTCTACACTGTAAATCTAAGTTGAAGCCAGCTCTACAGTATGGTGCTTAAAGCTCGGCAAAAGACCCCCTGGGAAGGGAGATATTAACGATCAAACAGTGCATACATACTTTACGGACACCCTGTATAAAGCTGATTGTATGTCTGTATGTATGTACGTATGTTCCGAATAGAAAATTTTATTTCTGAACCGATCCGGACCAAACTTTGCACACATACACTTGGGGCGGGGCGGGTGTCTTAGGCTACTTTTCGTCGTCGATCGATATCGATTCTATCGACTTATCAAAACTGGGGGGGGGGGGGGGTAAGGGGGGGGGGGGGTAGGTGAGCGTGCTGATTACGATTATATTATTGACAGACCGACGAAGCCAGGTTTGTCAGCTAGTAGCATATAATCCACGAAAAACTCTTTTTAAAAGCCCAGCGTAAGCAACGCGGACGAGTTGTGCCTTCTCAACCTAGTCTTTGCCACAGTGGCAGCAACACTATGGAAGTGGACGCCAGGTGGAGGGACATGTTGAAACACGTAAGGGGAAAACCGTCGGCAGTGCTCACCAAGTCGCGCTTTGCGGGCCACTTTGAGAGAAAATTTCTCGGCATAGAAGAGCCCGCGTTTAGTCGAATTTGGGGCAATCAACTATTCACTGGGTCCTCTAACGATATATGTAGAGATTCGCACTACTCCAATTTTGTTAAAACATGCCTTCAGGGGCAGTGCCTTGGGAAAATTGCAATCACTCAAGAAGCTTTCGAATTTTTTGCGTAAAACTTAATTGTTCTCATACATCATTAACGCACATGAATAAATTCGATTTGCTTTGAAAAAACTAAATTCTCAAGGTTTTCTTTGAATTTTCGGTACTTAAACGCGCTAAACTTTTCAAACCGTGAATTTTTTTGAATAAGTCATTACTACAGACTTCATAACTAGAGCTACGATATAATGTGAGAAACAGCTTGCAATTATGAACTGCTGAGGAAGCTCCCCACACATCCCCACAATTAGTGAATTTAGCGTAAAACCTACAGAAGGCGACATTTACTAGAAATCGATTTCTAGCCATGAAAAAAAAATGCAGTAATTCTGTGCATGTTTATTCGCTATGAAGGAACATTTGTGAACAAGCTAGAAAGCCGTAGGAATTTTCTGAAAGGAGATCAAATTTTTCGGTTCGAAAAATGTGCACTGCTCTGAATATTTAAAGTTGCCTGGTAAGGTTTCTTGGCTCTAACAAATCGATGAACCTTCGCTTCTACCAGATTGGCTGACTGAAGGAGGGCTTCAAGACCTAAGAGGTGACTGCTCGCGTCCCGCGACGCAGTCCGCGCCTCCCTCGCGAACATGCTCTCCGATCCTAGCCTTAATTAGGTTACGGAAATCCGCCTTCCAGCCGCCCATCTGGTTGAATTAAAGGGTAACTGCCTACTCTTAGCTTCAACCAGCTGGCTTACTCGGCTTCGCCCGGCCCTGTTAAAACACTGTAATAAAGGTCTCACCCCTACCCCTCTATAACCTTTCTCTGTGCCCACTTCTTCATTTCGTTTCCCGTTCCCTGTTTCGTTTTCGAAATTAGCATGCTCGATTACCTCCTGTGCCAAATCCCAGCCCCGTGCTCGAACTTTGCAAAAAAATCGATAAAATCGATAAAAGTAATTGATAATTCTGGAAACTAATATTGTATTCGAAGTCGCCATGCTCGCTTACTCCCCTGTGCCAACTCCCAGCCCCGTAGGTGAACTCTGCAAAAAATCGATAAAAATCGATAAAATCGATATCGATCGATGACGAAAAGTAGCTTATGGCACCCGCCCCTCCCCGAAGTGTATGTGTGCCAAATTTGGACCAGATCAGTTTAGAAATGAAATTTTCTATTCGAAACATACGTACACACAGACAGACATACATACGTACAAACAGACATTCAGTTTTATAACCTCGAGTCATTTGTAACTTTACATGTGAGATTGCACACTAAGCCCTATTAGCGACGGCATCCATACTAGTAACTTCCCAGTAAAACATTTTCTAACCTAACAAAATGTAGAAATGTGTCCTACTGACTAACATATAACCAACTAAAACAAAAGAAATAAGGAAACAAGGAGAAATCACCGGAAATGAACAGGTTCTAGTTTCGCAGTTCGTCAACTAGCGCGTATAGTGTGCACTACGCATATTAAGTTACAAATGACTCTACGATATATAAATATGAAAGATAAGCGGAGTTTCGTCAATATGACTAAACTTGTGAGACAATCTCTACTATACTAAATTCCTTAAAATGAATAGTAATAGTAAAATGAAAGAATTCAGCGAGCCTGCAATTGGCTGGAGATGGTTTTCCATTGGAAAATTCTATTCTGTAATGTTGTCAATAAAGAAAATTGAAGCGATAATATTACGTGGTTCCGGAAAGCTCTGTCGGCTCCTTTCATCGATCACCAAAACTCATAGAAAACCAATCGATAGATATGCTAGGTACCACTCGATTTTGTTATCCCTTTTGTTATGGCTGTATTTGTTCTAGGATCTATGTTGTCTTTGCAATGTGTTCGCCATGGCTTTTCGAGCATCTTAAGGCCTAAAGCATACCTCGCGCGGTTTCAGTCGCTGTGCAATCTGCCACTGCAAGAACTCTTTATAGCTCGTCGTAGACGCACTTTGCTTGGGCCAACCTGCTACATCTGATAGAAATCTATGCGCCCATGCATTTCAGAGCCGCGGTTTAGGGTTCCTTCATACCACGCCGCAGGACGCAGCAGCCTGCCGCAGCACCAACGTCCTGCGGCGTGCGTCGCTGCAGTCGCTGTGAAAATATACGCTCACTACAACACAGCTTCGCCGGTTATGGATGTATCGCTATATTTGCCGTACGTTCGTGTTTCTCGAGGGTCTTTCAGTGCTAACGAGCTTATATTTCCACTGCGACTGCAGCGGCGCACGCCACAGCACGCAGCAGGATGCCACAGCAGTGCCTAAGGCGAAATCGCGAGAGGTATGCTTTAGGCCTAAAGTAACGCCAAATCTTTCCCGATGTTTTCAAAGAGTGCTGGTAACTGTTATGTATAGCAAACCTTTGACTACGTCGTACCTATTTTGGATTGCATGGGCCATTCACCAAATCCGTTATGATTATTTATTTGATAAAAGCTGCGACTTTTTGATTACATTTACTACTTAAAAATGCTGAAAGTTCGAAAAAGTTGTTTTTTAAAGGCAAATCAACTTGATTATGTTGCATAAGTAATGGTTGCTGAGAATCGTGTTTTAGTTCGCAGAAACTTCAAAACCTTTTGCGTACTAGCTGCAGTCGCTTATTTCATGACTTTGCCAAAAATCGAGATCTTAGAAAAATTAATTTTTAGAAAAAAAGAAGAAACAAGTGAAAAACAGCAGATTTGGAGAATCCAAATCTTTGCTGCATAGCACAAAATTAACTCTATTTCTGCCATACTTGACCCTTTCCAAAACTTTCGTACAAAATTTTCAAAAGTTAGCCGAACTTTGAATAGATAGCCTACAATCCTTTCGAGACAACATAATATTAGCTGTCATTGCTATTCTTTCAGCTCTGATTGAATGCTTGCACTGAGGCATAACAAAAAAAAACACTCGTTTCAAAAGATTTCAGTTTCGTAACTGTGGACAGAGTTTCTTCTTCATCCTTTACCATGTTCTCAAGCAACATAGAAGTTAAAAGCAACGTACATGTTGGTCAGAATTTTTTTTACGATGCTTTCTTTCGATAATCGTGACTTTTTTGATGCATGAGCTAAGCTTGTTCATTGCCAGGTCAGACCAGAAAATGAGCAAAGATCTAAGTATGGAAGATCAGCCCCGGTTGGTTCCATTTGCGTATCTATGTAAAGGAAACCACAAACGCGCAAAAAGCAAAAAGCAACAAAAAGCATGCACAATGACTATAGAGGACACAAATGTTGTTTGTGTCCTCTATAGTCATTGTGCATCTTTTTGTTTCCAACGTGCCAGGATGTGGAGCACAAATCAAAACAACTTCTTTGTTCTGTAGTTTTTATTTGGACTTGTTTATGCGTGACTACCGCAAGGTTCTATATTAATCACCACTTTCATGTTCGTAAAAAATCTGACCATTTGACTTCTGCAGTATTTCGTCTGTGTTACCATACCGAACAGAACTGGAATCTTGATTTCACTTATGTGACTGGCAATGTATGCAAAACAATTCTTACAAGACATAAAAAATTTCAAGCGCAAATACCAAGGAGACCTTGTTTCTTTATTTCGAGGGTAACCGTCGCACAGTCTGCATTGAGTCGACTTGTCTGCTCTGAAATCTTTCATGCGATAGTCCATGTGCGCATTTAATCAGTGCAAGATGATGTAATAGAGTTGTCAAAATATGCAGTATGAACATTGCCATCGTTTATTATAGTTGCCTCAATCCGATTGTTAGCAGCTTATGATAATCTCTGCTTTTTCTAGTATCTATAGCACTTTCTCGCCTACACACAACTCATCATGTTCCTTAACAATCTACTGCTTATCGCTTTCCTCGTGCTTGCGCTATCCTATACCACAACTGCACAATGGGGTGAGCACCAAAGACTGTTTGCTTTTCAAATGTTGGCATAAGTTCCAGGTTATGGCCAATTCGGATATGGTCTGTATGGACCACGACAATACTACATGGGTGCCATTCCAAACTATCAACCAATGTGTCCTTGGAGTTCCTTATTCAACAGACCTCGGTACTGATTCTTTGCAAGTGTTTGTAATAAATCATGAACTGCTTCTCTTTAGACATGACAAATATTAGGCTCATTATCATTACCATAATATTTACATAAGTTATATTATAACTGTATGTCCTAATGCTTGTTTGCTACGACAACTGCAGTTTAGGATACTGTGTCTGCACTTCGAATCTATCAATTTTGTAAAAAACTTACCCAAGCTTACAAGATATTTTTATTGTAAACGACAAAAAAAAACCATTGTAGCGCTGTTATAGAATGAAGTGACCGTCTTTAGAGAACATTTGCTACTGAGTCAAAACTTGCATCAAATTCCTTTTCTACTATCTTGTCCATCAAGTAGCAGAGAAACTCACGTTGTTTCACCAACACTACACGATTGCAAAGTGAGTAATATGTCCTCATCGCCATCCAGCTGTACGAGCTTGGATAAACTGAGTAAGTATAGATTCTGGTATTTTCCGTTATGCAAAACTATTTCTTGAAGAGTTTTGTTGTAAAAGTTTAGTAAATTTTGTATGTACTCTGATACCAATTCAACTACATATATTTTTACTCTAATGTACGTGCCTTTTAACCATCATTTAACATCAACACCCCCTATTCCTCTTAATCTATATTTTTAAAGTTTAACTACTCAATGCGGAGGTTTCATGGCTCACATATGCGTTGACACGATACAGCATTGAGCCTTGAAGAGATATTTTAATTGCTGTCCATCAAACTTTAGAAGAATTATTCTCATTTGCTTTTGCGGACCATTAATAGCAAAAAAATATTCTGTCGGAGTCTATAATCATATATTAGGTTGGCACGAAAGTTCTTGCGTAATTCAAGCAAAATTCAATAACTTTTCAAAGACTAAACCTAAATTCATAATCTTGTATGCTAAAAATACTAGAAGTCCCACGCTCCATGATGGAAGTTCAAGCACAACAATCCATGAGCTATCCATCGAGAAGGAAGCTCTCAAATAAGGGGCTTCAAATTTTGCGATTTTGAGTTTGGTGGCAGAAAATCGCAGAGGGCCGCTAGCTAGCCGAAAAAAATCTGTAGAATTTACTCACACAGCAAAAGTCCATACGTTATTTCAGCAGGCTTTGATCTCGCCTGGATATGCGAAAACAAAAAATTTGTGAAATTTTTCATTTCAGAAAACAAATCCCCTTATCGCACTAATTTTTCCACAGAAACACAGTTTGCAACCAGAAATTAGACATAGTTCCTGTTTAGAGCCTTGCGACGTTTTCTCGATTGTAAAAAAGTGTTTTGGCCGGAAAACTGCGGACATGAGAGGACTTTTTCCGCAAAATGACATATTTCACGAATTTTTTGTTCTTGCTTCAACGTCCAAGATCAAAGCCTTACAAAGTAGCATATGGATTTTTGTTGTGTAAATAAGTTCTACAGATTTTTTTCGGCTAGCTAGTGGCACTCTGCGATTTTCTGGCACCAAACTCAAAATCGCAAAATTTGAAGCCCCATATTCGAGAGCTTCGTTCTTGATGTCCAGCTCACGGAATCTTATACTTAAACATTCATCATGAAGCGTAAGGCTTCTAATATTTTTAGCATACAAGATGGTGAATTTAGATTTAGTCTTTGAAAAGTTATTGAATTTTGTTTGAATTACGCAAGAACTTTCGTGCCAACCTAATATTAAATCTGTTCAATTGGTTTTTCCGTTTTTTTATCCTGTCATAAAAACAAGTGGAATTAAAATAGACAAATGCTTCAAAACTAACCGACGCAGTTTCCCTTCCTCTTTCCATCATTCATGTTTTGGGACCATTCGCTTTGGTGGTTTCTGAGATTTGAGAAATTTTTAACCCATAGTTTTTACCATGCCCAAATTTGACAATTTTTCAAATTCTTCATTTTGAACTTTTAGAGGAACTTTGATAGCAATTGGATAGCGTAAACAAAGTGCAGTGCAATCCAATTTTCTCGCATCTCCACTTAGTCCTTATTGTTAGCATCTTCTACGATAACTTTTTCAAAAGTCTTCATTTTGCCAAATGGCAAAATACACAAATGCTCCAAACACTAACAAATCGCTGGAATTTGATACTTTTATATATCGATTATGATAATACACAAGCTTTAAACGCATCAGACCGTTTGCAGCTTTGAAATATCAAATCTCGCATTCTACGAGTTCAGCATGAGGCGGGTTCAAAATTGTATACTATGATTCTTTTATCGCCAAATACTCCGCGAATTAAGAAAAAAATGCCTTTCAGAAAGGCAGGGAAGGACGCATCGGATCACCTTGTTGTGCTCATTTTGATGTTTGTGAGTTTTGAAGTGACTAAAAGTGGAATTTGAAAGCTCAGAGATAGAATTTTAAGAATTTTGGAAAGCCAGCTGTAGGTGTCAAAAAATATCACTGCATTGCACTTTGTTTACCCTATCTAAATGCTATCGAAGCTTCTCCAAAAGTTCAAAATGAAGATTTTGAAAAATTGCCAAATTTGGGCATAGTAAAAGTGTGGGTTCGAAATTTCGGCAATTATCTCACAAAAACCATTAAAGCGAATGGTCTCAAAACATAACTGTTTGAAAGAGGAAGAAAAACAGCGTTGGGTAGTGCTTGAAGCATTTGTCGACCTTGATTGCACTTGTTTTTATGACAGTCAAAAAACGGAAAGAACTTTTGAACCGACATTTTTTCCGCCAACATAGCTCCTGAAAGCTCTTCATTTTCAAGTAAATTAAAATGTTTTTGATAAAAAAATGATACTAAAATCTACTGTACATAACTAAATAAAACTAGGGAATCATGACAGTATCTGCTCGGAACGAAGTTTTCGCTTATTACGTTTTTCCAACTTTCGTATTCCTAACGAATTTCAACGACTTTCGAATCTTCAAGTGTAACTTTCTATAAGCTAGCTGCCGATAAGAAAGCTTCCACAACAGTGATCCTGCTTGGAAATGCAAAAACAAGAAGTTCGTGAATGCCATTTGCTTTACTGATCCGCTTTTCAGCTCAATCGCTGTTATGTTTGTTCGCAATCACTTTATCCCAAAAAATCGTAACACTGTTCACTTGGACACTAAGTTTTCCTTGCTTCGAACTGCTTCTGTGAAAAAGCTGCAGCGACAAGGCAATTCTTTTGCAAAATGACACTTTACGAATTTGTTTTGCATTTTCTTGCGGGTTCAAAAGTTTGCCGTAGTAAGCTGAGCTACTGCTAGGCTAGCCAACATCTCTTTGCTTTGCGGCTCAAAATTAACACGCAAAATTGAAAATGCCATTTTCAAAAAAATTGATCGAATTGTCGGCAGTCAGATTCGGTGCATTGATTTACGAGCTCGCGCATGCTTAGTGGTTGGAAAGTAAAAAAAGATGCAGTATCCATTTAAAATATATTTAAACAAAAAACTAAAGTTGCTGCTTTATCATTATAAGCACGAATATTTGAAGAATTAGACGTATTTGAGGAATTGCAACTTGACTGCAAGACCTTGTCAATGCACTGGCCACGAGCAGGTACATGATGTTTTTTGAACAAGTTTCAGTTCTAATTATTGTTGGTACAGTACCCTTTCGGCGGCTAACCACCGTCGTCAAGTATTTTAGGCTAGCGAATGATAGCTTTCTTAGGCAAAGCCTTGGATAAGACCTAGTTGAGCCCATAGCAATTCCTGGCACAGATGTGTCTCGATCAAAATTTCAAGCTGACAAATTACATTCCCGACCAATGAATTTACAATGTATGCTGAGTCAGCTTCAACCTTAACAGTTTACTTTGCAAAATTTTCTTTTTGTTTAATATTGCAAGATTTTCTTTTTGTTTAATAATTTCTTTTAGGGGGAAATTAAGAAGTTAGAGTTTTATACTACGCATTAATTTAAGGCAGTTGTGTCATTAAACATGATATTACATCGCTGATAAATACAACTATTCTAATTGGATACTTGCATATCAAGATCAGACGGCTAGATGAGAAAAGAAGTAGGGAGATTTGATGGAAAAAAATTTTCGCTTCTTGAAAAAGGGGTTGAAATTTCTACGGCATTTACAGTACGGCTTCAAAACATATGCAACGACGACATTAAAGCAAGGACTGACAGAATTTTAACAGCATTCATTTTTTCTCACAATTCAATTGTATTATAGATGCATCCTTAAAGATATAAGTAGAACTATCTGATGTCAGGCGAGAAAGCACCAACAACGGCCTCTAGTAAACCTCCGCCCATTTCTCGTCGCTTGAGGAAGGCTCAAGTTAACCTTGTGACCACAGATCAGCATCAGTTATGCCATCGATCTATATGCGCAGCGCTCTGTAGGATGCGCGTCTTAGAAAAACGCCTCACCATTTTACAGGTTTGATCAAATGGACAAAACTGTTGCAAGTCAACTGGCACGGCCGTGGTTTGAGACTCGCCAACCGCAGCTTTCAACACATCGCTCGGCTATCCCTTATCAACCAATATGCAAATATTGATAGCGATCGATACGAAAGCTTTTGCCATGCAAGCGCGGAAGTAAAACAGAAGGAACAAAGTTATAATAGTTTAGCATAAATAATAATACGAAATGCAATTACTTGAGATTATACAGGGTGTCCCAAAAAGATGTGCACACTGTTTGATTTTGAATAACTCTCTTATTATAAGGTCCTTCGAGAAGCGGTAAGCGCCATTTTGTAGAGCTGGCTTCAACTTAGATTTACAGTATAGAGCGAATCACCGACCGCTCTTCGTTACTGTAGGAATACGGTAGAAACTTGGAACATATGGTGTCAATGTGGAAAAAGCTGCCGTTTTAAAAATTTTCAAAAAGATGTGAAAACTTGTGTAATAGGGTTTTTAGGGACGCTGAGTTCAATACTCAACTATTCTCAAGGCTGCGAAGCTCTCCAAACGGTGTAACCGCATTTTTTAGGAACATTGAAAAAATGGCCGCTACTGCTTACCTCGCATAACTCTTCAGTAAAACATCATAACGGGTTGGGAACTTTACAGTTAGAATCAGCAACTCTAATTGGTGTAGTGTAAAAGTTTTCAGGCTGTTTTGTTTCCTTTCTGCGGGAAAATATGGCCTTTCATGGCCAAATCCTTCTTTCAAGTTTCTACCGTAATCCTACAGTAACGAAGAGCGGTCGGTGATTCGCTCCATACTGCAAATCTAAGTTGAAGCCAGCCCTACAAAATGGCGCTTACCTCTTCTCGAAAGATCTCATAATAGGAGAGTTATTCAAAATCAAACAGTGTGCACATCTTTTTGGGACACCCTGTATAGAAAATATAACACTGATTGCAGTTAAATATTTTCTGCAAGAAAGGTAAATAAAAAATCGTTTCAGGTTGATGTAAAAATGCGCATTTTTCTAGCCTTTGCTCCAGGACAACTTCTTGCCATCAAACTTCCTT